TTTGGCAACCCTGTGATACAGACACCAGCCACAGGGGCGGTTCCGGGATGGGTCCAGTATGGGCCAGTGACACTCTGACAGCAAGCTTGGACAGGTAAGAAATATGCCACAAGTAACTCCTTAACTCATCATATTTCAGCATAGCACTGTCTAATGATGACATAATATCACAATAACTGGTAAAGAATCTGACTAATGCTCCACTGGTGTCCAAATATCTTCTAAACAAGTGAAGGTATTTTTCCCCCACAAGCAGAATATTCTTCATAAGTGTTTTAGTCCATATCTGGTGTCCTCGAGCTCCAGTCTGAATGATGCAAAGACATTCTACTATCAGACGGCACTATGTTTTACTTTACTTTTACGCAGTTGTGCTGTTTCTAATGGATTCTTTACACAGCATTTTAGCAGTTTAATAAATTTATGTTAAAACGTTCTCTCAGATGCAACTCTGTGTTCAGGCGTGAGGTGAATGGCAAGACTAAAAATAATAATTTTTATGTAAACAAAATGCATTTAAAGACCTGAAACCAAAATAAACTGTTGGTGGTTTTTATGTTGCGTAGTCTGTATTCTTTGTCAGTATGTTAAACGTAATTAAACCGCATAGAAATGTATTAATAACATAAATACATTAGTTCAGAGGCTAGGAAAGTGGAGAAAAAGGCAAGAGGTAGACAAAAATGGCAGATTTTACACAAAAACATATGTAAAGAAACTAACAAGAATAAACAAAACTATGAAACCGCTTTAGAAAAAACGGAGTAGACCAAACAAAAGTTACGTTACATCTTCAGTCTCCAGAGTCAGAATGGCTGCAGGTCAACTGCAAAGTCACACCTGGCTGCCCTGAATACAAGACACAATCATTTATTTGCATCCTTCTGTTAAGGCCAGTCCTTTCATCTCTAATGCCATCTTCACAAGCTCACAGATAAGTGAGCCCTGTTGTCCGCTGCCACTCATCCCAGCCTTGTCTCGAGCTGATCAACAGATCAAAGCTTCTGTTTTCTCCCTCCATGTTATTGGATATGGTTGTGTAAATAAGATGAAACCTCTCTGCTTTCTCTTTATCTCCCCGGGTTTTCAGTTACCACGTGCGCTTCTAGGGGGAAGAGGCAGATTTGTTTCAAAAACAATAAAACATGGATGAAGCAGGCTCTGTTGAACTCTAGGCCAGTGTGTGTTTCCTGTATGCTGTTAGATATTTGGTGTTAGTTTGGTGTCTTCACACAATCACATCATAAAGAAAAAAGGCAACATGTCAGTTCTTATAATTCATTCTGGCTGCTACAGCAAAAACGATGGCAGCACCAGCCTATCCACCACGTCTCAGCATAATTAAATATATCAGAAACCATTGGATGAGTTTGGCAATAAAATCTCTGCAGAAACTCTGAAACTAAAAAGTGAAGCCAGCATACAAGAGCCAGAAACTTCTGTTCTCCTACCAATGATTAGAGGATGGCTCCAAAATAAAAGAGCCAGTCTTTACAGAGCCTCACATTGAAATCTTACTTTTTATTTACATTTATCTGGAATTTAAACATATACAGGCATGCTATTTGGTTTGCGACAAACAACGTCGTCCTTTGGACGCGCATCTGCTTATTCTCCATTAATGAGAAGACTGTTTTGTGACACTTATCAGGGAACACATTAGAGGAATAGTGATTTTATTCTTAATAAATAATGCAAGGACCCACAGTAAAACATGAATTGACCTCTTCAAGGAAATGGAAATAAGAAGCTAATTCAGAATAAGGAGGGGCAAACAAAAGACTAATTAATATTTTATTGAAACGTCTCAGACACTGAACGTGCTTGTTGTCTTTTAGAAACTAATTGAACCTGCTATTATGCTAATGCTAATTGCTGCTAGCTAGAAAATAAAATGTTATTTTTCCAATATGACCACTAGATGGCAGCGAGTCTTTTACACTGCCCCTTTAAGTCCTTTAAACTCATCTTAATACGCGAAGCAGCTCACGGTTTTTAACTACTGTAAAGAAGACATCTTATGTGTTCAGTATTTATAATCCTGTCAGAATAATATTTAATCCAATAGAATCAGATTACAGAGGTTGAGAGGAACATTGTGAATAACTAAAAAGTGTTGGTGCTTTTTCTTAGTAGAGAAACATCGACAGGTTTGTGGGAATCAGAGATTATGCCCAGAGGTTGCATCACACAAAGCAGCTGAGATAACAACACACACAAAGGAAAGCCACTTTGCTCCAGGGTTGGAGTAAGTCATGCTGCTGAGTCAAGTGTGAGCTGTTTAGGACAGACAACATAGTTACCTGAGGTTGGTTGGAATAAATCCACATTGTTTAAAGCTAAGATTGGTGTTTTCTTAAAATCCTTCTGCATCACATTCACATGCAAACAACTTTGTTTAGTAAAAGCTTCGATTTTCCCATGAAGACGCGTTTGACAATTTGTTTTAATGCATATTTAGGTTTACCTATCCAACTCAAATAGCACAAAAGTAACACGTCAAGGTATGCCGCAAGTGCACACATTTGCCTTGTGCACTGACATGGAACAATTTCTGTGTCCTGATGCTGTATTTTAAACTTTTGATTGCTGCTAATATTAAAATTTGATTCACTATATTAAAACATTTTGAATGGGTTGTTGATGTTATATGGCCACCTACAAGCATGGCATGACAATGTAATCATTTTAGGGGAATTTCTGCTTCTTTTCCAAATGGATTTCAAAAGAGAGTGTGTGTGTGTGTGTGTGTGTGTGTGTGTGTGTGTGTGTGTGTGTGTGTGTGTGTGTGTGTGTGTGTGTGTGTGTGTGTGTGTGTGTGTGTGTGTGTAACAGTACATCTAGCCACTTGGACTCAGTGAGTCAGCAAAGGATGATGACTTCCATTTTAGCAGCTGTCACCTGCCTTTGAGCATTTCTAATCACATTGATTTATGTGCTTTCACCCTAACTGCGGTTGTTTAGGAATGCAGCAAGAGGTTAGGTAAAGTAGTGTAATGGAGTTATGAAAACACAACTAGGTTCAAGGAGCATTTTAATCTCCCAATTCACTGTATACAGGAAGTTCATCTTTACATAAACTAGTGCATTGTTTTATAGCATGCTATGATCTGGGATGCATAGTGGCCCAGGAGGATTCTGGGTTCATCTACCAGCCGGGACCTAAATGTTTGCAGTTTGTGTGTTCTTCTCCTGATCAATGCAGTTTATAAAATGTAAGGAGTAAAAAGTAAAGTGTTGGCTATTATAAAAACGACTCCATCAAAGTATAGATAACCAACCATGTACTTTGGTACTTGACACCTTTAATGGGGACACGTGTTAACAAACACAGAATGACAGGGATGCATATTCTCAGATTGACCTTTAGCAACATGGAAAAATAAAATACCAAAAAAATGGATGGATGGATGTTTACATTGTGCATTGTGCCTGAATCAATCAATCAATCTATCAATCTATCAATCTATCTATCTATCTATCTATCACGTTAAAAATATTTTTTTGTCATAATTAACAGAAAAGACATTTCAAATCCCACCATAAGGAGATATATCCTTATTTCAATTATTTGCTGTCATAAATCTGACATCATATGTGCTTTAATAAAAGATGCACTGACCAAAAATTGATGAGTATTGATCTGAAGTTTTTATTCAGCAAGTGCATGATTCAGATTGAGGACAGACCACTTCTGGCTGAAACATGATGTTTTTCTGTTGGTGAGAGGGGTGGAGAAATTGAAGGTTTGGATGAAAAGCAGATGAGATTCAGCTGCTTTTTTTTCTCTAACATTAAGCTAAAAAAATGTAAATCCGAGGTGAAAGCGTGCAGCCATGGTTCAGCAGCTCTCTCGGGTTCTCCTGCAATAAACCACCTGCTCATAAACTCTGGAGCTGTAGATCATATGGACACCTCTCTCTTCTTCAGGGATGCACAGACACAACCGCACTCTGCACTGTGTGTGTGTGTGTGTGTGTGTGTGTGTGTGTGTGTGTGTGTGTGTGTGTGTGTGTGTGTGTGTGTGTGTGTGTGTGTGTGTGTGTGTGTGTGTGTGTGTTTGGAATAGCTATGTATTAAAACAAATAGAAGGAATGACGTAATACCACATCAGCCCAAATGTGGCTGAAGGTCATTCATTGACTGAATCCTGATAACTCCCGATCGATCTGGCTGAATCTGTATTCCGATCTCACGCGAGGCTCTGGCTCGAGGTGTAGTCATACATGAACACTCAGCCGCACGTGCTTTGCAGCATCAACTCAGAGCTGTGAGCGCACGCGGTGTGCACGCTGGCGTTTGTGCTTATTAAAAGAAGGGAGTGATTAGCGGCTCTTAAAGGGCTGGACTGCAGCCAAACAGTGTGGCTCTCGCTGCTTTTACAGGTCGGGCTGGATTTTACAAACCTGGGTAAATTGAAAGGTGATCAGTGCGCGAGAGCATCGATTGCGGTGATTGATTAATTGTCAGGATGTGAAGGCAGCCTTCTCATCACTGCACCATGCAGCTCGATGCGACCAGACATGGAAAATAAAACATATTTTTATTAAATAACAGCAGCACATGAAGGTTGTACAAAAATGTGAAGTATCCGAGCTAATAGGTCCCCGTCCTCCCTCCTGACTTTGGTTATACAATGATGCTCCATTCAGAACAGCATGGGAAGCTCTGACGCGCCAGGAGCAAACATCAACCTCCTGCTATGTGGATCTAGAACTAAAGCTTAGACAATTAAAGGAAATCCACATTTGTCTTGCTGCAATGATATTGGATTATAAAGGTGGGGAGCATGCACGCCCCGCGGCTATAACGGGACAGTCGGTGGCGCACGGAGCCTCTCTGCGCATTGCTGGATGGATGGACCCGGGATAGCGCAGTGGCAATTCATCAAAACACACAGATGCCTTACCTGGCTGTTTGGCCTGGATTGCATTATTTACGCGTTGAAATAACAGCAACGAACTCCTAAAGCGTCCATAAAGGCGCCTCGTGTCACTCACCGAACTTTTGCTGCCACAGAAGATATCGCATCGTTTCTTAAATTCCTCCTTTTGGACACGGTGGTTCCCATGCTGACATGGAAACGACGCAGGCAGGAAAACTGTTCATTCCCAGAGGACGGATGGAGGAATGCGAGTGGGAAAAAACGACAAACGCTTTCGATAAATTAAGAATAGAAAAAGTTGGAGGGAAATCCGTGAGCCGATGCAGCGCAGAGACGCACGTCTGCCTCTTCTTCCCTCTCTCCTCCTCCTCCTCTTTCTTTGCGTGTCTCTCTGGGTTTGAGCACGTATAGGGTAGCTCAACAGCTGCTGAAAACGCGCGCGCGCGCGCGCACGCACGCACGCACACACACACACACACAGACTCCTCCCTCTCATTTCATTGATCTAAAATCCATGAGGTTTGGTTTGGTGACAAGAGAACAGGACCATGTGATGCCATTTATCCCATTGATCTGATCCTTAGCCTAAGTCTGGACTCATTTCATTTACTGTGTTACATAATCGGTCATTTTAGTAAAAGCTCAACACCCCCACCCCCTTTTCACACACACACACACACACACACACACACACACACACACACACACACACACACACACACACACACACACACACACACACACAAGGCATTATTCTCTACTAGAGACCACCGCATTGATTAAAGGGTTAGGGTGGAATAGAGGAGGAATCATACCCAAAGTTAATGCATTCTAAACTTTTAGCATGAACATATTTTATGATCAAATCCTGCAGTCACTAATATGCAAACTTGACTAATTTTGATACATTAACTGATTTAAAGGAATGTAAACAACAAAGATATTTGTGATTTATTTACACTGTGTTGTAATTCAAAGAGCCAGCTGACAGAAATCAAGCTGCAGAGCCTGAAACCAATTTTCTCTTGAGTTGTGGGCTGGCTAAAAATCGCCACCATCAGCACAGAAAATGTGTTAACTCACAGAGTTCACTGATATTTAATCTCCACCGTCTGTGACAGGAGACAGTGTTTTTTACTGTGGTGTGCACACACACCCTCAGGCATATGGCCACATGCATACGTCATGTAAACAGATGGAAGCTCAGGAAGCCGTCAAACCACCCATTAGCCTTCGAACATCAAATCAATGAATCTTTCAATCCACAGGTCATTTCACAAGCTCCCCAAATGAGCAGGGCAGCCTTGTTTTTTCTTTTATTTTCTCTTTATCGTTTGTCCTTGTCCTACACACAGACACACACACACACACACACTAAGACAAAAGGAATGGAAATCAATACATAAAGCAAAGCACTGCTGGGCTGATGTGAGGTGCTGCTGGCCATTAGGCAGTAAATAATTCCAGGCAGCTCTGACGAGACTGAGGAAGCGTGTGCAGGTGGACTGTAGATGAGCACCATGGAAGCAGGTATGAATCAGTTCTCAGACAGGGAGAGAGGAGTTCCTCTTACAAGCCTGAAAAGATAAAACAACAGTGACGATGAAAAGGGAGGTATTCTAAAACAGGAACAAGTATTTTAGAACCCACAGTGGGATGCAATTGCGCTAAAAATGGGGAAGGAATGTGTTAAATATACTAAAAAAGAAATGAAAATTGGAGAATAGGGAAGATGTGGAGGTGTACATCCACTCCTGTCCCAGATATTAGAGTCTCTGATCCTGACAGGCTCTCAGGGTTTGATTGATTGCAACGCAGATCAATACTTGAGTCTGTTATGCCAGCAGCTCACACAAGTTGTCTGACAAGGGGTGTGCATTTAAAACACCATTAAATTAAGAGTTTTGTACACATGCATGCAAACAAAGGTCTTTGAAGCTACTAGTTCACATGGTCATAATTCACAACTATGGAGTGGATTGTTGATGCATTGAGAGAAATGGTTGGACAGGCTTTAATAAACCAATAATGATGGTATTTGCTGCGACCGTAATTCGACCGTAAATCAAAACATCCACATTAATAAAACCAGTCCCCACGCCATCTTAGTTCAGTTCACCGCATTCTAAGAGAAGTATCGGACCAGCCACCCGGACTTCTTTTTTAAGCAAAGAACCGACAAGCTGGAAAAATCTGTTGCACTTTACCAACCAAGCAACGGTTCCTTTCAGAATAAAAGCTGAACTCACTGACCCTCAGGGTCCATCTGACGCTGTCAACCAACTGTCGCTTTTAACCTGGAGACAATCCAAAGACTAGTCTGTCGTCCTGCTGACGCAGTTTCATCTGCTCCAGTACCGAAACGGGGGTCCGAGGACCTGGCATTCTGGATCTGTATAGAGGTCTCATCCTAAGGGTATGTGTGGAGCGACAAAATGGCGTCTCATGTGTTTATGAAACTCCGATCATTGCTTAAGAGCAAAACATCACTTCCCACATGCTTCTCCGGATACGAGAGTTCTGATGACAACATCACCCACACATTGTCACGCGTGCTGGTGAGTGAAGCGGAGGCAAGGATCCAAACATGGGTGAAAAGGCAGGCAGGCAGACAGGCAGGAACGGTTTACAAAGGTTTTAATAAGGAACACACGCTGGACAACTGAAACAATGAACCGACAAAAGACACAGAACTGAGAGGGTTTAAATACATGAGGGCTGGGAGCTTGGGTGATTGGAAAACGAGAGGCAGGTGGGAGCAATTAACAGAGACACATTACTGAACAGAATGGGGAGACAGGACAGGGTGTGACAGTACCCCCCTTTCCCATCAGAGGGCGGATTCCAGACACCCACAGGAACACAGAGCAGGGCGGGAGGAGGGGGACCAGGAAGGAGGGCCGAGAGGAGGAGACGGCGACAGGCTCTGGGGGGCCCTGCGTCTGGGGGCAGAGGAGGAGACGGCGACGGGATCTGGGAGGCTCGCGCCTGGCGAGGGCAGGACTGGTGGTGACCGGAGGCAGAGCTGCTGCAGGGGTAGACGCTGGAGGAGACGACGTCGACTTCTGGGCTGGAGGAGACGACGTCGACCTCTGGGCTGGAGGAGACGACGTCGACCTCTGGGCTGGAGGAGACGACGTCGACCTCTGGGCTGGAGGAGACGACGTCGACCTCTGGGCTGGAGGAGACGACGTCGACTTCTGGGCTGGAGGAGGAGGCGTCGACCTCTGGGCTGGAGGAGACGACGTCGACCTTTGGGCTGGAGGAGACGACGTCAACTTCTGGGCTGGAGGAGGAGGCGTCGACCTCTGGACTGGAGGCATCGACCTCTGGACTGGAGGCGTCGTCTTCAGGACACAAGGAGGCGTCGACTTCAGGACACGAGGAGGCGCTGACTTCTGGTCCGTAGGCGCCGACTTCAGGTCCAGAGGCGCCGACTTCTGGTCCGGAGGCGTCAACTTCTGCACCACCAACTTCTGCACCGCCGACTTCTGGACCGCCGACTTCTGGACCGTCGACTTCTGGAGTGGAGGCAGAACCACTGCAGACATGACCGCTTCCTTGGCTGGTGCCGCCAGACTGGGCTCTGACATCTGGACAGGCTGGCCTGGGGGCTGAGCCTTGTGGACCGGCTGGCCCGGGGGCGGAGACTCCTGGAGCACTGCTGGAACTGGCGCTGACTGGACTGGTGGCGCAGGACCGGGCGCTGACTGGACTGGTGGCGCGGGACCGGGCGGAGCCGGAAACCGGTAACGCAGGGAGACTAGATTGTCCACCTCGTGCTCCTGGAGACTGAAGATCAGACGGAGTCGGACCAGCTCAGCTCGGAGGCCGGCGAGCTCTGCTGGATGAGCTGCAGGCTCGGTCCTTTGGCCTGGAGACAAGGTAGCTGCCGACTGGACCGGAGGCAGGGCCGCTGGCTGGACAGAAACTTTCTCCTGGAGATACGGGAAGGATAGGGTGTCCAGCTGGAACTCCTGGAGGCTGATGAGTTGACGGAGCCGGCCAAGCTCCGCTTGGATGCCGGCGCGCTCCTTCTGATGGGCTGTAGGCGTGGTCCCTCCGCCTGCAAATGAAGGAGGTGCTGACTGGACCAGAGACGGGGCCGGGGTTCGGCAGCGTCGTCTGCGGCGAGGCGACGCCGGAGGAGAGGAAGCCGGCCGGTGGTAAAGAAAATGTGCAAATTTGCCATCACTTTTTCAAAAATATTAAGTTTGGCCCTCGACTCCGTCCCAGAGTTTCATTTCGGCCCAGCGTGAGTTTGAGTTTGACACCCCTGCTTTAGGAGGTCGGTTCATTCTGTCACGCGTGCTGGTGAGTGAAGCGGAGGCAAGGATTCAAACGCGGGTGAAAAGGCAGGCAGACAGACAGGCAGGCAGGAACGGTTTACAAAGGTTTTAATAAGGAACACATGCTGGACAACTGAAACAATGAACCAACAAAAGACACAGAACTGAGAGGGTTTAAATACATGAGGGCTGGGAGCTTGGGTGATTGGAAAACGAGAGGCAGGTGGGAGCAATTAACAGAGACACATGACTGAACAGAATGGGGAGACAGGACAGGGTGTGACCATAGACATAAATATACTGGACATCTCCTTTCCACAGGCTCCAATATCACGTTTTTGTACTAAAATGGGAGGTGTCCACCACCGCCATTTTGACTGTGTCACAGGTTTCGTCAAGCCCAGACAATTCCATAAAAGGGAAGAGAGGAGGAGCTGAGGGTGGGGCTGTAAGGCGGGGATCAACTGACGACACCCGGTCGAACTAGCTACAAGCTAACCTGAAGCTAACCCAAAGCTAATGCAGAGGTGGGAGCTAAGCTAACGGAGGTAGCAACCTAGCTACAACCGGAGTTAACTGTGCACAACACCAGAGCTTCTGAGTCAGAGATACGCCGGGCTGACTGCTGGGTAAAACCGGGTGGAACACAGAGGTCTCCGAGACCTCCACAAGCCGGCAGCCCCACAGCAGACAAGCGCCACTGCCTTCTGAGATGCGCAGAGCTGCCGCTGGGGAGAACTGGATGGAAAGGTTTCCATCCCAGAGCTCCACAAGCTGGCAACCCGTGCAGCACACAGAAGCTGAAGTCAGACAGAGATGTGCCGAGCTGCGGGGAGGGGAGAAACGGGTGGGAAACATCGGTTCCATCCAGAGGTTCACAAGCCAACAGCCTGCGCAGCACACAGAAGCCGCAATCAGACAGAGATGCGCCGAGCTGCGGGGAGAACCAGCCGTCAGCCCGCGCTCAGCAAACAGAAGCCGCGATCAGACAGAGATGCGCCGAGCTGCGGGGAGGGGAGAACGGGTGGAAAACATCGGTCTCCCGAGAGCTCCACAAGACGATAGTCGGAACCCAGCTCAACCAACATGTTATATTTCAACCCATTTTCTAAAGTGCAGCATTATGTTAAATGCA